CCTTTTCAGGAACTTATTGCCCCGGGCATTGTATTGTTTTTAGTAAACATGTTTTTAGTAAACATTGTCTTATAGCTGCCTACTCCCAGGCCTATGGGGAAGTGGGACTCTGCTCAAGGTCTGGTGTCCCCACAACATGGGTAAAGGGAGAAATAAAAAAAGAAATTAAAGACTTCCTAGAATTCAATGAGAATGAAGACACAACATACCCAAACTTATGGGACACTCTGAAAGCAGTGCTGAGAGGAAAGTTCATAGCACTAAGTGCCCACATGAAGAAACTGGAGAACAGTCACATTAGAGAATTAATAGCACAGCTGAATATTCTAGAACAAAAAGAAGTAAACTCACCCAGGAGGAACAGATGCCAGGAAATAATCAAATTGAGGGCTGAAATCAATCAAGTAGAAACCAGGAAAACATTGAGAAGAATCAATGAAACAAAGAGTTGGTTTTTGAGAAAATCAACAAAATACGCAAACCTCTGTCCAAACTAACAAAAAGACAGAGAAAGAGAATGCTAATTAACAAAATCAGAAATGAAGAGGGGGACATAACAACAGACTCTGAGGAAATCCAGAGAATCATCAAGGCATACTTTGAAAATTTGTACTCCTCAAAATCGAAAATTTAAAGGAAATGGATAATTTCCTGGATATATATCACTTGCCAAAACTAAATCGAGAACAGATAAACAATCTAAACAGACCTATAACCCTTAATGAAATAGAAGCAGTCATCAAAAGTCTCCCAACCAAATAAAGCCCAAGCCCAGATGGCTTCAGTAATTCTACCAGAAATTCAAAGAAGAGCTAATTCCACACAATAAAAGCAGGAGGCTCACTGCCAAACTCTTTTTACGAGGCTACAATTACCTTGGTACCCAAGCCATACAAAGACACAACTAAGAAAGAGAACTACAGACCAATTTCCCTCATGAACATCGAAGCAAAAATACTCAATAAAATACTAGCAAACCAGGATAGTGCCAGTCTGCATTTCCACTGACAGAATCTGGGAAACAGGAAAGAACCTAAGAGATATGCATGGTACCCCAGAGAAGAGGAATGCGGCAAGATCTTCTGAACAGATGGGGAACACGGCGAGGGGTTGGGGGAGTGGGAGCTGGGAAGAAGAGAGGGGGAGAAGAGGAAGAGAGAGTAGATCATGGGGGAACAGGAAGGTTGAGTGAGGAGATAGGATAGGGGGAAGAGGGAATCATAGGTTAGAAGACAGATCAGGCACCAGTGTGACCTCTAGTGATCTAAAGGGATGATCCAATTGGCAAGATAAGCAATAGTGGAGAGATCACCTCGAATCCCCATTCCTGATAATGAACTTGGTGTCTATAACCATCCTGGAACCTTCAGCCAGTGACTGATGGAAGGAGAGGCAAACACCCCCAGTTAAACACTGAACTGAACCCAAGAAACCCAGTGGCAGAGAGAGAGGAGCAATGAGCAAATTGGCCAAGAATGGGCTGGCAAAACCAGCAGAGACAGGTGATCTGAACAGGGGAGAGCTCTTGGACTCCAGACTGACAGCTGGGAGGCCAGCATGGGACTGATCCAGACCCCCTGAATGTGAGAGTCAGTGAGGAGGCCTGGGCAACCTATGGGGCCCTGGGCAGTGGATCAGTGTTTATCCCTGGCATACAAACAGACATCGTGTGTCCATAACACAAAGAGGGATTCTCTCTCAGCCTGGACTCTTAGGGGAGTGCCTGGACCCTGCCCTGAGTGAAATGACAGACTCTGGATATCCCCTATGTGGAAGGAAATGGCGATAGGGTGGGAGGCTGGGGGGAAATGGTGGGGGGGTGCGGGAGGAGGGGAGGGAGAGGGAACTGGGATTGACATGTAAAACAAGCTATCTAAAATTAAAATAATAAAAAAAGAAATGGCCATATGACAGCCAGCATTGAGATGCTAATAACATAAAAAATAGACTTTAAACACACACACACACACACACAAACATACACACAGAACCTCCTACTAAAGTTAAGGGTGGTCCTCTGATAATAATAAAATGTGTCATCTATCAAGAAATGCAGTCATTATGAACATGCATGTACATAACAGAACTCCAAAGTACATGGTAAATAGCCTGAAGAGGAGAATGGGCAGCAGTTGAGACCATCTAAATAGCTAGAACAGTTAAAAAGAGATCACATGAAATTAAAAAAGTGAACACTGTGAACAAACTGACCTAACAGACTTCTGAAGAATATGACCAAACAATGACTAGAGACACTGTTGTCTCCAGCAACTAGAGTGTTTCTCAGGTTCCAGGATAAACCATAATACAAAACTCAGTTCATTTAAAAGACGTAAGCTATAAAATATGCTTTCCAGCACAATGAATGATACCACAGAAAAGAATTTTAGTAAGTTTCTAAGTATGCACCATCCTCTATAACTTCTGTACTAAAAGAAAAAAGTCACTAAGAAAATTCCAAACAATCCTAGAGATGAATCAAGCTGATACCATAACAAGAACAAATGTTTGGATTTCTCTAAAGAAATTCTTTGGGGGGGATTATGCTGTAAATTCACATACTATAAAAGTAATACAATCAATAACCTAACTTCCTATTCTAAGAAATCAGAAAAAGGTCAAAATAAAGGCCAAACAAGGGAAAAGGAGAAAATAACAAGACAAATGAGAAATAGATAAAATATAAAATAGAAATAAAATGGGAAAAACCAATGACCCCCAAATTTGCATCATTGAAAAGCTATTTTTGAAAAGTATAAGTTTGTATACAGTGTCTAAGAAAGTCCTATTATCAGATGAGGCCACCTTTCTTGTTATAGGAGTAATTATACAGAGTACATCACATGTGCCATGGAATCATACTTTTCTGCAAAAGTTTCTCCCTCATTCATGGCCTTCAGAGACAACAGATTTTTTTTCTTACTATGATATACATTTGCTCAGAGACACACACTACAGCCAAAAAAGGTATGATGCCACTGCACCAGCTTGAAATAAACTCAACATTGCACAAAAAACTGATACTGTCAGTCACAGGGCTGGTTAAAAAAGAGCACAACACATAGAAGTAATAGAAGTACCCATTTTACCAGATGTGCTGATCTCAATAGGAACATAATAAATATGAAAAGGGGGATATGATACTTGATAAAGATCATATTTCTATTGCAATATATTCAAAGATATCAAAATGGGTAAAAAGACTGTTAAAGACTGTTTAATCACTTCAAGTGAGTGATTAAAAATAAATATAAATATATATGTATATATGTGTATACATATGGATATATACACACAGATAGATACATAGATAGACAGATAGACATAGATAGGTGACATATAGATATTGATATAACTAGATATAGACAATTGATGTTTGGAATGAAACATTATGCCAAATTGTCAAGAATATAAGACAGAGAAAGAATTTTAAAATCTGAAAGAGAATACATCCACATCACTTTTAAGGGAAATATCTAAGACTACCAGTAGATTTCTAAGAAAGTCAGAACAGGGTAGGTTGGTATGGAATGATATATTTCAAGTCCTAAAGAAAAATAACTGCCAAACAAGGATACTTTACCTAAAATTACTAGAAGGAAAGAGTTTAATTATAATCAGAGCATATGGAAGAAAAAGAGTCAAAATATATAGTACAGTGAAATAAACAGTTTAATATTTGGAAAATGTAGTAAAATTGCCATATCTTATTAAAAGAAATACTCCTAATAATATTAGAGATGAAAAGGGAGATGCTTCAAGCATACTACAGAAATTCAGATCATTACTTTGGAAAACTACATGCTAATTAATTAGAAAAATCTAGAAGAAATGGGTGAACTTTTAAACACAAATTATCTAATTGAATCAAACAACTACAAAACGTAACTAGAATAGTGCTAACAAGAATACATCAGCTATAAAAAGTTTAACAATGATGAGAAGCTCATGACTAGATGGGTTCACTGTTAAATTTGACCTGATTTCTAAAGAAAAGTCAACAGATATGTCTCTCAAACTATCCCAAAAAATTAACAGGATGAGAACTCTTTGTAAGAGATTAGCAGTACTCTGTTGCCCACACCTAACAATGACACACACAAAATTAAACTACAATTCAATGCTATTGATAAACATAGGTTCAAAGATCTTCAAGGTATTATCAAATAGAATTCAATGACATATTGAAAAGATAAAGATGGTTTCAGTCTTGATATGCAAGGACTGTTAATCATACACCAATTAATTTATTATATAAAAGACTGAATATTAAAATGTGATAATATGCAGAAAATAATTCATTGAAATTAAAAATTGATTAATGATAAAATTATTGAACAGTTAGGCATAGAAAGATCATATGTCAGAACATAATAAAGGCCATACACGTCAAACCTACAGTCAACACCATATTGAAGATAAGAGGAAGGCATGACTTACAGTGTTATAATTAACACCCACTGCTTTTACCCAATGTATTACTAGAAGCATTAGACAAGGAATCAGTCAAGAGAAATAAATAAAAGGCATAGAATTAGTAGGGAAAGAGATCAATTTTCCACTGCTTATAGATGTTATGATTGTATACATAGTAAAAGCTAAGGATTTCATCATAACCTAAAAGTAAATTTAATAGACATCTACATAATGATAATGAGTTTGCTATGAAATAAATCACAAAGGCAATCAAATTTAAAGGAGACATATACACACATGCAGAACAACATAGAAATAAACTTAACAAGGTCCTTTACAATGAAAATTACATAACAATGAATAATCTTAAGACACTAGAATTTAGAAAGGTCTTCCATGTTCATGGACTAGAAAATTAATATTGTTAAAATATCATTACTACTCAAAGTGATTTATATATTGAATGCAAATGCATCAAATTAGCAATGATATTCCTTATATAACTAGGAAAACAATCTTAAAATTTGTAAGGAATTCCAAAAGATTCTGAATAGGCAAAGCAATCTTAAATAAAAGAACAAAGCTGGATGTATCATAATATTTTATTTTCAAATATAGTACAAAACCATAGTAACAATAAAGTATTGTATTGGCCCAGGAACAAGGCTCATAGACTAATGAGATGGAAAAGAAGACATAAGACACATACAATGAATTTTCAGCTATCTGAATTTAGGCAAACGTGCCAAAAAAGGCACACTGAAAAAGTGTTGGCCTCTTTTACAAATACTTCTCGGGAAACTGTATACCCTAGGCAAAAGATTAAATCTTGACAACTATCTATCACCTTGTACAAAAAAACAATTTAAAATTGATCAAAAACCTTACACTTTACACCTACTAGAGAAAAGCATAGCTAACTAAACACTTTAAGAATTTGGTAAATGCAATGATTTTCTGTATAAGTCTGCAAAGAACACAGGAAAATTAAGATATTTACAAAGGCTATTACAACATACCAACAAATACCTTTTTGTATGATTAAACTTATGCATTTCAGCAACAGATTTCTCCAATGGGAGAAAATGTGTGCCAGCTATATAAAAAGGGGCTGGTGTCAGAACATATAACCAATAGCAAACAGGGAATCCCATTCAAACTAGGTAAAAGATCTGAATAGACACTTTTCTGGAGAAGAGATAGAAAGTGAACAAAAGAACATAAAACTAGTTAACATTAGTTAAATTAACTGACTTTTAATTCATGGTTCAAACAAAAACAAAGAAGAACACTCACATGGAAGAGAGTATATTATTAAGTAGAAATGCTACGAGTTATTTAATGACAGCAAGTTGGATAAGAAGTAAGCAGAAAGATATTCAGGAGCAAAGTATAACATCATCTGGCAATTTACTCATTAACAGCTTTGTAAAGCAACTATATTTCTATTATTATTGGATATATATTTTCTTTTATTGAAAATAGATTGCTTTCTCATAAAATGTCTCTCTTATTCTTTGGTAATTGCATACATGTATAAATCATCTTCACTGCTCACATCCCCTCCATCTCCTCTTATATCAAACACCCCATATCATCCTCCCAACTTCACATCCTCTTTTTTAATTCACCGAGTTCAGTTTGGGCTGTCCAATGTGGATGCATGTAGGGATATCCACTGGGGAAATGAACAACATACTAATAGCCATGCCTGTGAAGAAGACTGCTTCTCAGTCTCTCAGAACCACCAACTGCCATTAACTCTTCAATGACAGGTAAAACCTTGTATACTTCTCCTTTGTCCAATGTAGAATGCTGTCTGGCTTGATCTCATGCAGGTCTTGTGCAGGCAACCACAGCTGTTGTGAATACATGAGTACAATGACTCTGTCATTTCCCAAAGAGTTTTACAGCAGACCTCCATGACATTTGGCTCTATTTTTCTGTTCCTCTTTCCATGATGTAAAGCTCACAGATGCCCACTTGCAGCTGTGCTCTCATTCTTTGTATTTTTAACAGCTGTGAGTGTCTTTTTCAACCACCATCTTTTATAAAAAGCTTCCCTAATAAGGGAGTAGGTGCTACATAGATCAATGGTTCTAATAATAAGTATTGGGAAGGAGGTTTGATACTATATCTATTTTGCAAAATAATAGTACTTGCTTCATACCTAGGACCTATGATCTCCCTAGTTATGATTCTTGGTCATATGAGTTTTCTCCTGTGGAGCAAGTGTTAAGTCAATTGTGAACCTTTTGGTTCTTGATTACCCTTTTAACATTCATACGAAACAACTGTTTTTAGTAAACTTGCAATCTTAGTATACATAATGTTTTAAAAAAGAAGGAAAATAGAAGAATGATTCCATCTCAGGCTACTATTCTTTGCAATGCTCACATACTAATTTAAATAAGGAATAATGTCGAAGTTCAAACAACTGTTTACCTCTAATCACAGGAAACATCAGTGAAGCACAGTTCTTAACACTTGCACATGAAATCTGACTTTGAGGTCTGGGATGGGGAAGAGCTACAGAATCACCTTAATTCTGGTGCCTATGGAGTGGATGACTAAAATGAGGTGCAGGTCACTGGGTATAGAGAATAGAAGACTTGAAGTGCATGGGCATTGCATCTTGTGCAAAAATTGATCTTATTGTGTAAGATATGGCAGGGTTTAGAGTAGAAAGAAAGACTGTAGGAAAGATTCTATGTTTAACTGTAAGGAAATGGATGAGTAGGAAACACGGATGAATGTGAGGGCAGAAGACTTTAACTGGCAAAGGAACCTGAAAGATGTTGAGAAATTAATAGATAGAGAAACAGTGTAAGAACATTGCCCCTGGCTACAAATAGACTCAGGAGATCACGTGCTTGACTTTCGGTATTCTGTCATTGTGTCAATATTCCTAGGAAGCCATCACCATAGCCAGAAATCTAAGGAAATTCTCTGTTGCCTGGTCTGTCAAAAATTTTAAGACCTAAACAAATAAAGTTTATTTAATTCTCCTTTGATCCATAAAGAAGAAAAAAAAACCAATCACTAAGCAATTGGGTTGACATGACTTTTTTCTTCACATAGGGCATTCAGAGTCCTATATCCACACTGTCATTTGTTGCTTATTGTGTGATAAGTTAATTAAGCAAGCTCTATTTCTTTAAAAAATAATATAAGGGCATTCTTCTGAAATACAAAATGTTTATATATATATATACATACACATGTACAAATGCACTTAGCTATGCATGTATGTATATAAGTGCATATATATACATATGTGTGAGAGTGTGTGTGTTCAGTAATCTTATAGATGAGGCTATTTTTCAAGTTATAAAATTAAACAGGATATATTATACTAGAATAGTTGTCACCATTACTGAGAGATCATATAATGGAGTGATAGAGGTGACAAGTTGAGGAATTTTAGATGAGCCAATCACCCATGTAACTGTTAACTTCAGCTTTGAATTGAAGAACCTTAACAGTTGTTAATTCACATTCATTTGTGTATCTATTTAAAATTATACCCAACATATGAAGCAATCTATAAATTTATTCCTTCAATATTAAACACATAGAATTATATTTACAACATAGATTCATATATTGAGCCCTTAATTTTTCTGGGTTATTTTATAAATGGCTATCTGCTAACTTTAAATTAACTTTCCAGAATATGCACAACACAATAAAGAGTATAAATAGTGATTCTAGGAAAATATAGTCCAAGTTTTATCCTACTTTAATTTCCTCCCATGGGTAAGCTTATTTCCTCTATATCTCTTGACATAACAACCTTTACAACACTAAAAACAGAATCTTAGCACGTTAATCTAACTGAAATGTTCCCCAAGGCCTTTGGATTCCATCAAATAGTTATTTTTATTAAGCCTTGATTATTTACCACCCAGAAGTGTGATTTTTATTATTTGTTAATACCTCAAGTCATAACGAGATGATAGGTTTAATTTGTCATTAATTCTATGGAAAACTGTTGCCCATAGTTTTGTCTCTTGTTCAATTTCAACAATCCCCTGATGCACACACATTGTCATTGTATACACACTCTATTGAGAAGAAACAGAAATGGTTTGACATTTAGGGTTTTTTTTCTCCATTAATTAAATAGAGCACAAGAATCTAGCAACTTTGGAAAAAGCCAAGCTTCTTTTGCTTTAATGTACCCAGAAGATTTCAGATCAATACTTCACATTAACGTTTTAATTGAGAATTAACATCATCGTAATTGGAAGTAGGGATCAGCATCCTGATGTCTACAAGGTGGTTTAGAGAGAAAGGTCATTACACTGCAAGCACAAACATTGGAAAGGAAGACACAAATCATTTGTTTCCTTGGGCAAGGACACACAGTAAACACTTGGATTGGTGGTCAACTGTAATTTGCTTCTGGAGTCAGAAACTGGCAACACTGCACTTAGGATTTATAGCAAAGCACACAGCCATGGTGACTTTGAAAGCAAAGGATAAAAGAATAAAGGAAAAGTTCATTAGTTCTGAAAGAGCTAAGGTGTAAGGACTTTCCCCTCAAAGCACAGAATGTACCTGTCCTCTTCCCAGCATACCCCGTAGCCAGTTGCTGTCCTCAGCATGTTGTATTCCTAAATAAACCCATTTTGCAAAAGTCAAAAACATTTCAGTCTAGGTTCTCAGCAACGTTTTATTATTTGCCTCAAAATTTCTAGTCAATGCATTCCTAGCCTGAATAATATAGACATTTCTTTCTCATTTTGATGAAAATAAACATTCCAAAAATTATATTGTAATTTATTTACTTCCAATACTGGAAATATTCAAGAACTTCTTCAAATTCCCAGAAAAGAGGAAAATGCCTCCTTCCATTATTCACCCTGTCCTCCAGTACCAGCCTAAGGCCCACCACCGCCTCCTCCATTTTCAGGGAACGAGTGTGCTCTTCAGATTGGGCTCCTTGGTGGAGTAAGGAGAATTGATGGGAGGGGCAACTTCTGTAGGAACCATAGCAGGAATCTGCCTTTCCCTTCTTTATTGGAATTGAGAATCTGCACAAGACATGCCCATTGGGCTGTTTCCCTAGGTGTCCCCTGAGCCGAGAGAGGACCCAGTCAGTGAGGCACCCTCAGCTCGGCCCCGCAGACCACAGTCCCCAACCTTCACCCCATTGTCAGTGCAATGCGCAGAATTGGGGCTCAAAGCAGTGACCTCAGCATTACTTTCCACACCCCGTGAGTCCAAAACTCCCTTCCTTGTCCTGGAGGAAGGGCTCTTGTGGAAGCAGAGTTTGAAAAGTCCCAGCACTGTCATGGTCAAGATCACCAGCACTATTACTGCTATGCTCACAAGTATGAAGACCACGGTGGAGGAGGAGTCGAACGTCGGGGAAACAGAAGGGGAAGAAGTATAGTTCAATGTAGGGATCACGCTTCCTGATGGCCTTGCGGTGACTTTTGGCTTGGGTTGTGGGGACTTTTCAACGGTAGGTAAAGTACTCTGTGTCCCCCACTGAAGAATCTCGGGAAGAGAAGTCGCAAAACTGTCTTGTCCGGTGACCTGGGGCATCTCTCCTAACTTCTCATGCACCTTGCCCAGCCATGTTCTGTTTGTCACTGGACTGGTTGGAGTGGCTGATACATGCCTCACGGGCAGCTTGGTCCCTGCAAGGGTTGGCTGTCCTTCCCCTTGGGCCTCACAAGAGCGTCTGTCCTTCCCCAGTTCAAAGCCTGGGACACATTCACAGGCGAAGCCTCCCAAGTGGTCTAGGCAGTCGGGGAGCTCCACGCACTTGCCAGCACGAAGGTACCTCCCAGAGCAGGAGCAGAGCAGAGCCCCAGGGAAAAGCCCATCCCAGCGTGCGCTAGTCTCTTCCTGGATGCAGGTGGCTGAGACGGAGAGGTTCCCCCCGGGACATATCACACTCACCTCGGTCCCAGGAGGGCTGAAGTCCAGCGCGGAGCTACTCAGCCGGAAGGGAGCTCGGAAACTTAAGTTAGAGGCAGCTCCTGGGCGTGGTGCGGGGCACAGGGCTTCAAACTGATACTTGCACAGATAGCCATTAGCACGCAGGTGACAGCGCATCTCCTTCCAGCCAGCAGGCTCCACTCCTCGGGTGACCTGGAGCCCCGCGCACTTTCGCACAGTGCAAGAAAGTTGTGGCTCCTCTACCCAAGGCAGTGTGTTGTCCTCCGACTCTCTTCCGTCCGGGGACAGCCAGGAGAAACCCCTCAAAGGCTCTCTCTCGAGGGTACACTGGGAACGGCCACGCTCCAGAGCCACCCAGAACAGAAAGTCCTTGGAGCCTCCACCAGGCCCGGGACCTGCGCGCAGGAGCGCCAGCACCGCACGTAGCTCGGAGCCCGAGTGCACGGTGCTGAGAGTCCCACCGCGCAAGCTGCAGGCCTCCTCGGCTGCCCGCCGCTTGATGGTAGCATGGTGCAGGCTGTAACAAGCCCCCGAGGCTGAACAGGCAGCGCGATCTGCAGTGGGATGCTCGCTACTCCCCGGCCCGGGCCAGAAAGCAGGACAGAGGAGGCACAGGGCAAGCGCCGGCCTCATCCTGGAAACTCGGGGTGCACAACTGTTCCCAAGTCTCTGGCTTGTCCGAAGGAACCAAGCTGTCTCTGGAGTCACCGCCCTCTACAGCCCTTTCTACCACCATGTGTGCCCTCCCCTCTCCTGAACCCTCATACCCCGGCAGCCAAAAGTCCCCACCAGACTCCCTTGTCCAACTGCTTCCCCTAGGCCGTGACAGGAAATGTGTCCAGAGCTCTGCCAGACTCCGTGTGGCCCTGATTTATTCAGGGGTCAGGCACACAGCTGGCGCCTCAGCCCTGGGGAACACACTGGGCCAACCATGGTAAAATGCCCCGCTTAGATAAGCAAGAGAAAAGAAAAGTTGCCACTGAGACCAAGTGAGTCTCTTTCTTTGCTCAAGGCTTATCTGGACTTTGGATCTCAGAATGCAGTGATGATCGATCTTGGCAGGAAGGACCCTAGCAGAGGAACTCGCCTGTGACCATAGCCCACACCCGTCCATTGTGTTTGTGTCCGGGACTGTGGAGTTGGCGTCAGTATGATTTGTAGTCTGTTCCAGGCTTGGGGAGGTTTCCTGAGCAAGGAAGGGATCTTGTGAGAAATGTTCATGCCTCTTTCTAAGCTCGAGGCCTCACTGTTAAACCACTGATGTCAACGGGTTCTCATTCTTTACCAAGTCAGAAGAAACCCAGTGCTGATAATTGCCAGTCAAAGATTCCAAATTTCCTTTGGGATTTTCCAGAGGAAACCGCTCCTCTGGTCAGCACTTGCCTTAAAAGTTTAGTTTTTCACTTCTTTTGTTTATCTTTAAAATACCTATGTTGGTTGATGGGGTGCGGTGGGATTTACACGGAAGTGACAAATAGCTAGCTTATTAAGCTTCCTCATCACTAAATGGGCTCAAAACTTCTTCAGGCTAATAGGTTATATGAAAATGAATTCAAGGTCTTATTAAAGGCAAGGACAACTGTGTGTGATTTTAACCTTGAATTATATAAACATCATTGCTCCCATAATTGCCATTTTTTAGAGAAGAAAAATGTAGAAGGACCATATAGCTCAAAAAAACTTTTTTAAAATAAATTATTCTATTACAAAACCACATTCTACAATGGAAAATAATACTCTATAATTGAGAGACATTGAATCAGTCAGGTTCCAGTGGCTGTTTTAATGTACACATCAGTTCAGTTGGAAGCTGGTGAGAGTTAAAGAAACAAAAGTTTGAAAGAAAGGTTAAAGTCAGCATACGAATGTCTTTTATATTTGCAGCAATGTAGAGAGCTGTGTACAGCTTTATAAAATGTGCTGTTTATCTGGCAAATGCCCTGTACTTAGAAACAGACAGACTTTCAGCTTAGCTCTTTGAAAGCTGCACCCTGCTTCTAAATTGTCTGCAATCAGTGTGAAAGTTGTCATCTCTATGGCGCCCGATACGCCTTTTGATGTACATCTAATGCATCCCAACGGCTGTTTATGCTAACAAGATGCAAGAAGGAAGATGTCAAGATAATATCTGTATGCTCCCTTCTTATTTTTGTCATTACTGTCTCACTTCTGGGAACTCCATGTATCCCACGAGAAGACAGCAGACAGGAGGAATCAAGCTACCCTGCTCTTGCTAGCTGAGATTTACACATATTTTTCTCCTAGCCTTTCTGTTTCCCAATTTAAAGGATATTCCCTAGTTCTTCTTTCTAATGTCTCAGACATACAAACAGGACTTTGCATTTACATTAAGTAATGGTGTCTTATAAGAAATATGAAAAATCAGAAAATCGAATTCAGTGAATTTCTATAATGCTTAATCACCTGTATCAGTTCTATATGTTTTTGCACTCTCATGACGGTGAACTGGAAAAAGCGTTCTTAGACATTTTGAAAAGTCACCTGGCATGAGAACTGTTATAGAATAAGCAAGAGTAGATAACTGGAATCTTTGTGAATGCACACTCTCACTTTATGGCATTCTATGTAGTGGGATATTAAATGAGGGGAACAAACTGGCCATAATGATTGTGTATCGTAGCTCTGGTCATGCGTGAAAGAATGCGAGAGAATTAGGGGGGAAATCACCCAAAAGTAAGATGTATGTAATTTTAATTAATTACTTATTATTTACATACAACTAACATGTTTCAAAATGTATAGTATACCTGAAATAATGAATAGAAAGTTTTTATTTTTCAACCATATTAGTATCATGGTCCCTCCACCAGAGTTCAAATACTTGAGTTGAGTAATAGGTTGGTGTGTGTGTGTGTCTGTCTGTCCGTGGGTCTGTGTTTATGTGCACATATGTGTGGCCAAGAGGAATTCCTGAACCCATAACAGAATATTTGTAAAAGATATTTCTATTGTGATGTTATTATTATATTTTTAAGTTAGAAACAAGGTTGTTTCACATGTCAATCCCAGATCCCTCTCCCTCCCTTACTCCCCGCCCATCCCTCCAGGTCCCCCAGTCCCCCACCAAATCTCCACTCCGATCCACAGGGAGGGTGAGGCCCTCCATGGTGGATCTCCAGTGACTGTCATTTCATCCAGGGCAGGACCTAGGCCCTCCCCCAAGAGTCCCGGCTGAGAGAGCATCCCATATTGTGGCATGGGAACTCAAAGTCTACTTGTACCCCAGGGATAAATACTGCCCAAGGCCCCATAAGTTTACCTAGGCCTCCTTACTGACACCCACATTCAGAGGGTCTAGGTCAGTTCCTTGCTTTCCACACAGCCATCAATCTGGGGTCCAAGAGCTCCCCCTTGTTCAGGTCAACTGTTTCTGTGGGTTAAACCTGCTCTGTCTTAACTCCTTTGCTCATCAGTTCTCCCTTTCTGACACTGGATTCCAGGAGTTCAGTTCAGTGTTTGTTTGTGGGTATCTGCCTCTGCTTTCATTAGTCGCTGGAAGGAAGAGGATGGATCCAACAGCCTGGTGTTTTAATGGGGTGTGGTATTAGAGTTTTAAGTGTTGTTTTAGATAGTGACTTTGTGGATGACCACTAGGTCCTTAAAAATAATCAGTGGCCAAATAAACAAAAGTGGCTATATTTTTGTAAATGATAGATGAATGACATTACCAAGAGTGCCAGGGTCTCAAATTATAAAGATGAAATAAAATTGTTGGCCATATCTTCAAAAAGTATTTTAACTTATTGTCTTTTAACCCCATAGTTTTACAGGTAAGCACTTCAAAATTGGAGTTATACATAATTTGAAAGGCACAATAATTAAATTATTCTCTTCTATTTATTATTTTTAAATTATTTATTATTTTAAAATTGAGAAGTTTTTAATTTATACTTTCATGTATTACATCCCACTGCACTTTCCCCTCCCCCAAGTCACCTCATCCCCCAATCCATTCCTCCTCTGTTTCTGTTCAGAAAAAGGCAGGCTTCCCATGGATACCAGCCAAATACAGAACATCAAGTTGCAGTGAGACCAGGCATCCCCTATCCTATTAAGGCTGGGCAAGGCAACCCAGTAGCAGGAAAGGATTCTCAAAACAAGCAACAGAGTCAGAGACAGCCCCAGCTCCCACTGTTAGGAGTCTCACAAGAAAAGCAGTGGTATATATATATATATATATATATATATATATATATATATATATATATATATATATGACCTAGGTCAGTCTCCTGCAGGCTCCCTAGTTGCGTGGTCAGTCTCTGTGAGCCCCTATAAGACCATGTTGGTTGATTCTGTGGGTTTTCTTGTGGTGTCCTTGACCCCTCTTGCTTCTACAATCTTTCCTCTCCCTCTTCCACAGGATTCCCCTATTGTTTGGTTGTGTGTTTCTGCATCTGTTTCTATCAGTTGCTAGATGAAGCCTCTCTAATGACGATTATGGTAGGCCCTTGTCTGTGAATATTGCAGATGTTGACTTTTTTTCCCTTCTGGGCTATCCAGCCTCTAGTTCTTGGCCCTTCTGGCTGTGTTAGATGTCATTTATTTAATATCTGAGTAACATTCCATTGTGTAAATGTGCCACATTTTCTTTATTCATTCTTCACTTAGGTTGTTTCCAGTTTCTGGCTACTATGAATAAAGCCACCATGAATATAGTTGAGCAAGTTTCCCTGTGGTAGGATGTAGAGTTCTTAGTATATACACCCAGGAATTATAATCCCCAATTTTCTGAAAAAAAACCCACCATATTTATTTCCAAAGTGGCCATATAAGCTTGCACTCCCACCAGCAATGGAGAAGTGTTCCACTTGCTCCACGTCCTCTCCAGCTTGAGCTGTCACTTGTGGTTTTGATCTTACCAATTCTGACAGGTGTTGACTGTCTCTTTAAGTGCTTCTCTTGACCATTTGAGACTCCTTTTTTGAGATTTTTTTGTTTTGCTTTGTATCCAATTTCAAATCAGATTATTTGGTTTCTTGATGTCTAGTTTCTTGAATTCTTTATATATTTTAGAAATTAGCCCTCTGTCTGATGTGGGGGTTGATGAAGATCTTTTCCCCTTCTCTAGGCTGCTTCATGTCCTACTGACAGCATCCTTTGCCTTACAGAAGATTTTTCACCTTCATGAGTCCAATTTATTTATTGTTGATCATAGTGCTTGTGCTATTAGTGTTCTGTTTGGAACGTCATCTCCTATGACAGTTCTTTCAAGGCTATTCCCTACTTTCTCTTCTATCAGGATCAGTGTGTCTGGTTGTATGTTGAGGTCTTTGATTCACTTGGACTTGAGTTTTGTGCAGAGTGATAGTGATAAATATGGATCTATTTGCATTCTTCTACAACATGCCATCATCCATTTAGACCAGCACCATTTGTTGAAGATGCTTTCTTTTTTCTCTTGTATGGCTTTTTCCTCCTTATCAAAACTCAGATGTTCATAGGTATGTGGATTTATGTCTGGGTCTTCAATTCTATTCCATCAATCAACCCATCTGTTTTTATGTCAATACCATGCAGTTTTTATCACTATAGCTCTGTAGTAGAGCATGAAGTCAGTGATGGTTATACTTCTGAAATTTTTACTTATGTGTACAGGTGTATGTCTCTGGGAAAGAAGAACATGCGTGCATGTGAGTATGGGTGTCAGGGAAGGCTATAAGAGGGTGTCAGATTCTCTGGAACTTGAATTACAGGTGTTTGTGAGTCACCACACAGATAAAAAAAATTTCACAGAAGATATTAAAGACCTTATCATTCTATCAGTGAAGCAGCCTATTCAGAAGCTAATCTACAGAACCAAGAGTTATGATGATAGTGACTTAATTACTTCTCTATTGCTGTGATAAGACATCATGAACAAGGAAACATACAGAAAAAACAGTTTTTTTGAAGCTCATCATTTCAGAGTAATGAACATCATGTTTAGTAGCATGGCA